ACTTTTTAAATTTTACTTTTGATACTGTAAGTGCTCTTTTAATGCATAAATATGCATGCTGCGAGGGAAACAGAGAGAACTAGATATGTCTATATACCTCCGCTCTTTTTGATAATACATTTCTCCTCACACAAATGCTAGCTTGATAAAGATTAAATCAGTATTGTTAGTCTGGTCTCATCATTATGTACGGACTAAAAAGGAAGCTGCCTTGTTGAACGAATACTGCAATTTTCAATGAGCTTTGTCAAGCTTTTTGTGAGTTACCTTTGCAATTGGTATTCATTCCAGTTTCAGATGCGATGGAGTTCCTTTCACCTCTGAAAATTCGAATGAGTTAATCCAAGTTTGATACTCTATATTCCAGTTTCACTTACGATTTATGGAGTCCGATATATTCTCTGTAAAACATTCATTGGTTTATCCGTTATTCACCCCAGGAAATGATTGTTTGGCTTAAATGCATAGCACAACGAATTCGATTTCAGTTTTTGACTAGATCCATACTTTGAAAAACCACTAACATATTTGTCAATTCTTCCTCATTGTGGACACATTTTTCCGAGGTAAACAAATATTGATGATGATACTGTTGATGACTCGGATGATGATGATGATAGTGATGACATGTTGCATGCATTATTGCCAAAGAACAGTTTACTTTATTCGAACAAGTCTGAGTATTTCACTAAATCACATCAACAGTATGTATCTGGTTGTAAACTGATTCCGTGTCAAAGCTACATTTAGAGTTGATGCCAGTCTGAACGATCAGGCCATAGAGGGCACTTTCGATGCTAAATGTGCCTCGTTTCACTCTAAAACACATCTAAGTGCACTCACTAGATTTCAGTGCCGGACCCTCTGTTGTTGATCACCAGTTCCAATCGATTTCCATTTCCCACACACAACACACACAGTTGACATATATATAGGGGATGGAAAGTTTCAGCCCACACTGCATACTCTATCCAGGCAGAAAAATGAAACGAGTACGAAATCACTAGAGTGTACTGAACTGTAACTGAACTGAATTGTGCAACTGTATTCTAAGTCGATGAGCTTCTCAAAAGTGAAAAAAGTCCGCCCGAATAAATCCGACAATGTATGAGTGACAGTTTATAAACATCCTTAAGAAGAGTTTGGCACAGGATAAGACAAGTGCTTGGAGAAAATGTGAGATATGCACGTCGATACCAATGGAATGCTCACGAAATGTTAAAAGAAACATAAGATCACGGGCAAGCCTAGATTGATGCCTTGTGATCTTGAAGTCGAAAAATTTAGTCTGTGTTTTGCTAAGTATTTTGAATGATGGGAACCAGAAGAAATGTAAATTGTAAATTAGCATTGTATATGCAAATCTCATCAAAAACGGATCCGGTCCTGTTGGTTATTCCATAGTCATCCGTGATGACTGCAGCCCCTGAGGTAACTTATACTGTGTTCGAGTACCATCATATGAGGTTTTTATATGAAATACATGGCTGTATATTTTACCATGTATACGAAATAGGAAAACGGTGATTTGCGGGCTTATTTTGAGGCATTCTCTTTAACTATCGAAAATGCTTTTCTCGTTTTGAACAACAAATACAGATTGATTGAAATTATTTGGATCTTATGAAAGAGATTGTACAAGGAATCTAAAGACAGACAAAATTTAGATGGGAAATAGAAATGGTAGGTGAATCATTATACTGTACACCTCTACTGAATTCAGAGGGATAATTTTCTACCTAATACTGTCCAGATGTGAATTCAAACCTCTCATCAATTCCTCAAATCTGACTGTATTTTATGTCCAAGATGTATATGATGACTGAGAGAGTGTATCTAACATTTGTTTCAACAATGTACTATTTATTCCTGATCTACATACACCAAGGAGTAGGTAGCTGTCCAGTTCTATTTTGTCCGTCCTGTATCATTCTATTTGATTTAACATCGCATGTACATTTACGCTACTCGTGAGTAGCCGAATATCTTCAAACAAAGTTTTCTCGGGTTCATAAGGCCCTCAAAAAAATGCAGAGGCCGCGTAAAAATTTGCGCGACCCATATCCGGGTTTGAATGATGTTTCCGGAGTTACCACTTTCCTCTGCACCTACTGATTGAAATCTGGATACCAGTTAAATGGTTAAACAAATAAATTGCTTTGAAGAATGTTTCAGAGAAAAGAAAGGTATACAAGCTTCAACAGTTTCGTGTCCCCTAGACCGAAGATAAACGTTATTCATTAACTTGGCCTTGTACGGGTATACATATATTTGGAATCCACTTTCGCAGATGTAACTACTAACACCAAAAATGCAAACAGGGACAGTGATCGATGCATCGAAAGAAATATAAACGTGTGCAAAATGAGGAGATAACAGGACGCATCAGTCGTATGATGTAAGACCGTTCTCAGTTGACAAATATTAGATGCCATTGGTATGGCCTCGTAGCTCGGTTGGTAGAGCGCGCGCTGTACAAAAGCGCCAGTGGCGTCCATGCGTGGTTTCGAATCCCAGTGAGGCTACTGAAATCTAAATAATCACAGCATAAATTGCTATTCATGTAAAATTATGTAGACACAACGAATTGACCGGTAAAGTGTGATGATAATCAACCTTTTCGGCCTTAATACTGAATATTTTGACCTAATACTCATTTATCTTGGTTGAGAACAAATTCATTTGTTCAGATTTGAAGTCTGGAAGAATTAATTGTATCGTAGATTCTGGCACTGCATTGAAGCAAAGGCATCAATGTTTTTGATATTCAATACATTTAGGTAGGTATACAGTTTTATTCTCTCTTCCGCAAATATTTTCACCGTAAAAGTAATACCAACGTCGAAACAACGGCATATTAATTCTGGGTCTAGCTAAACAGGATGAATCATATTATTATTATTATTATTACTATTAACTTCATTATTATTCCTACTATCACTAGCACCGGTTAGAATGTTGTTACCCATATTTATGGACGATCAACGAGAGACTATATCAGACAATTACGGAATAGTGTAAGGCTAAACCAAAGAATCAAGCCGTTCAATCTAAGCGGCATAGTCACTGAATAAGGACCCAGCACAAAACTGGTCATCACTAAGGACAAAACTTGAGGAAACTAAACTCTATGTTTGCGATCAACCCCTATCTCAGATGATTGCAGTACTCGTTAGGTAACCACTTTGCTTCCTGGAATTTTTGCTTTTAAAGCTCAGATTTTACGGTAAATTCAAATAAACCAAACGTTCTTCAATTTTGATAATTTTTGAGCTATTCAAGACTTATTCACTACCCCGCTTCAGGCTATGAATGCCAAGATGCAAATTCTATCCTTATCGAGTAGCTTTAGCTTAACTGATACCCGAGTTCTATCCCTGACCGATTCCAACGATGCGTTTGAGTTGTTGGACCTATCATATTCTGGGATTGAATTTCTAGTCTTTCCTGACCAAGTGGGGTTGTCCTCGTGAGCCACAGTTTTACCTTTTAAGCTATTCAGTTCATTTAGGTTCTTATTTAAAAATGAGAAATAATTTCTGATTGTACGAAATCCGCTTCATCTCAGATTAGTCTTACTTAACTTCGTTTATTCAGTAAATAAAAACTGGGTAGGTGATCCAGTATTGTGTGTTATGTGTTACACAATACTTAACCCTACCGTGTATTAAATCGTGGATTACACAAGCCTACTTCCTTATAGATGGGATTAGCCAATACTGGCTGCCACCAAACGCACGCACACCACACCGATTTTTACCTACTGTAGGACCGAGTTTCCCCGACCAATGAAACTTCAATATTGAGCTATCCGCGCTGAGTCATACGTCGTCTGCTTGACTTTCTTGCCCGACTGCACCATGTTTGTGTGTTATGCATATGCTCACGGTTCTCAGTCTGCTTGCTTTTTTGAACAACATGAGCACCTATGAGCAAAGTGAAGTAGTTGCCAATAGTAATATCAGAACCGTATATTGGATTTTCTTTTTTATTTGTGCACAAAAGATGGTACGTTGCGGATAACTAAGTAAAACAAGTGTGAATGTTGACAGTCACCTGACTCAGAGTGTCGTCCTATCTGAGAAAAAACTCAATAATCGATTTGTAAGTACCTGGTAAATCGCGTGATGAAAGACCCAAGACATAATAAAATAGACACACACATTGTTTGTAGCGCTACCATTCAATGTCAGAGTTTAGTGACTATCTTGTAGTGTGGGCGGTGGTGGCCCGGTGGTTACGTCACCAAATTATCACCCCGGGGATGTGTGTTCGAATCGCACCACCACCGCCTGACTTCCTATTGTGTGTTGAATAGCAGCCCTTTGATTGGCCGCTTCCCCATTCCGGAAAACTGCATCTATGTATATTAAACAAAAAGGAAGTAAAATGAAAAGACAAAGAAAGTGTAGGTGCAAACATCGAAGCACAAGGCCCGTGTGTGTGTGGAGTGAAATCGGAAAAGAAGTACGTCATCCTAGATTTCGGATCTACTACTATTGGTGAACGGGTGATCCCTCTAACATGGGACTGAATGCAATTGTCTAAATGGCACACTATTGCTCGGAAGCCTGAATTTCTACATGTTTACCAATACGGCAAATGAAATAAAACCTAAAAACTGAAGTTCGATACACACACGCACACTCGATCTGAGTGCTTTCCTACTCCTCTCACAGTGCACACTGCATAAAAGGAGCATAACAGAAGCTCATAAAACCTGTATAGCTCATAGTCTCCAGTGCGATTCAAGAAAACTGTGTGACATGTTTGTGGCCATAAATCTCGGATCTGATTTTTAATTACATAATATTATAAAATATACAGTTGTGGAAAATCGTGACATTATGAACAGAACAACGGCGTATATAAGTCGTTTGGATGAGGCAGGGAAAATAATAGG